CTTACAGAGACGAGTATCGGGAACCTAATCATCAATTATTTTGTCTTCGATTTCATGCTTAGTTAAAGCAAACTAGTATCAGAAGGGTGCACTTCAAGCAGTATATAAGCAGAAAAGGTTGCCATGTTAAACTCCCTGGGCGTAACCTCCTTCATTTTAGCAAGGTTTATCGAGGGTTTGGCCGCAGTACCATGAATATAGTGAACTAGTATATAGCCAAGAACCAGAGGCGGTGAAAGGTGGGAAGTATACACGAAGCGTAGACCGTAAGAAAGTGCGCGTGTCCTTGGAATGCCCGCTGGATGGCTGTAATTCGATATGCTGAATATATGATAAAAAATGCAAAATGGTGGTACTTGGAATGTTCGCTAGATGAACGGATGGACAGATCGACAGATGCACGGATGGATGAATGGACAGGCGGTCGGACGCGGAGAGGGATGCACAAACGAACACAGGGACGGACGCAAGGCTGGACGCACACTCAGTTGCACGGACAGAATGACGGACGGACGCACTAACAAACGCGCGGATGGACGGATGGACACATGAACAGTCGCACAAACGGACGCATAGACGTACGGAAGTAAGAATCAACGGACGGACGTATGCTTCGCCCTACTCATCATCATGCACTTTGTGGATAGGCTGTGATTTTTTTACGCGCCCGGTTGTCCAGGCATGGGGTCCATCAACGTGTGTCCTTCAGATGTGAAAGAAGAACCACCTTTGTGGCCAATGTCCATAGTGCATTGGTACCGTCGCATTCCAGAATGTTTACTTGGGGAAATATGGGTGACACCGTCAGAAGTGGTGTGTGTCCTCTGATTGCACAGTGCCATTTTGGAGCCATTCCTATATCTAAGGATTATGGGAAAAGAGACTCTTGATAATCAGTGCTGCCCACTCAATCGATACTAGATGACCGCCGTGCACCACGAGATAATCGTATAGTGTCGAAAAATCTTCGTCTTGTAGACTGAGAAGTCCTTCATGTAATGAATCACTTGCCGGGAAATTGCTATATTTAAGCCTTTTAAGAGCTTTCCTTCAGTTTTTGCATGCTACCTGGCCAACTTCTCCCTCAGTGTCCGATGCCTGCAAAGGTCGGTCACAAAGAGTATGTAAAATAAATTTTCAGCCTACGTTTACAAACAGGAATTTTAACCGATCAGAACGTTTTCAAAGATGCATTATGATATCGCTTGCCATTTTCTTTTTCAGGCACTGCTTATGCTGATGATCCCAACCTCATGTCACCGGGAAACGAGGCGTATTCCCAATACCCTCTTACAGGTAAACGTTAAGTAAGATTTCAATACCTGATAGTGTGTTACTTGCGAATTCCATCATGAGAAAATGGGGGCCCGAATCTGAAAAGTGGTTTATAGAGTCATTCTCGCGGCGACGCATGAGGTCACGTAAGTGAACATTTCGTTGCCTCTTCAGGTGCACGGCTTTTGATTCAGAAAGCCTGAACACATTACAAACTATACTGTGTCCTGTGTTACGCGCTGTTTTTTCACTTCGTTGACATTACAAACTATCAATTAAGACGTTCTCATCTATATATTTTCGCATTCTATATCCATCTCTTGTTCTTCTTCCTAACTAGGGAGTTATTAGGCATTCACAATAAAGTGACAAACTTTCTAATATTATTGAGCGCACGAAGTGCAAGTCATTGTCATTCACAAATGTTCGACTGATGCTGCCGATTTCGAACAGTTTCAAAAACGTACCCGCTGAAGTTTGAGTTACTTGTGTACCATACGCCTAGAAGCTGGTGTCGATTACTTCGCAGCTTTTTCGATTGATTCTGCAAGCAAAGGCATCCCACAAATAAACCAATCGTCGGGAACGCGACTTGCGTTATGGTGTAACATAGATTGTCAAAATGCTCGCAAGCAATGAAACAAAGCCTGGAGGTTGCTGTGGCACCCCAACAATAGGGGTTCTTACAAACTTTGAGAACATAATGTCGCAAGCGTGGAGGGCGTGTCAACAAGCGAGACGCCAAAGTCAGCAGAAGTTTCCATGAGGCATCGCTTTATATACACACAAGGCTCAAATGTAGAACAGGATACGTAGGGTAATCGGAAGCCAAGCATACTCACTTCCTTTAGTAAACACGGAAGGCGGCAGCTTGGAGGATTAGGCGACCTCCCTGGGAGAACACTTCGAACTAGTGTCTAGCTCATTGCATTACACTGAGGCCTTTCAGCACTACAAAGCAAGGATAGAAAAACAGGAAGGACAGCGAAAATATAAAAAATACGAGCAACTTCGTTTACCTTAGCTGTACTGTTAACGGCTGCAATAAAGCCGCCCCAGGTTCTGATCGTACACTACATCAAATGTTGAGGCAAGTATCTCACAGAAAACGAAAAACATTGCTTTAAGTGTGCATTGCTACCCGGATTTCTAGAGAAATCTCTACGTTTTGGAAAAAGGTAATTGTCATTCGCAAGTTTAAACTGGGCAAGGATCCATCCTCCTTTGCTAGTTACAGGCCCATCGCAGTAACAAGCTGCCTTTGACAACTTTTTGAAACGATGGTAAGCCACTGACTTATACATTTATTGGAACGAACAATTCGATTGAGAAATGAATCTACATGGCTGAGTCCAGAGTTTTGTTTTTATAATAAAGATTGCACTGATTTGGTCTTACATGATATTGTGGCGTCATCAGCGTACAAAACACAATTTGCAGAGGATATTACATGAGGTAGATCAATATTTCAAAGCCCCATTACCCCCTTCGACATCATATGTGTAGATTAAGCACCGGGACAGTGCTTCTACTGCTGGGGGTTATGATACATAACAGCCACTAAACACGGCTGCATGAAAGAGGAGGATGAAGTGAGTTTTCGTTTGATGTTGGACTGGCGCCATCTTGCTCGTCGAATACTGTGTGCCTTAAATAGATCAATAAACAAGTTACTCGTAACATTATTAAAAATAAGGGGACCAAGAATGAACCCCTGCAGAACACCTTGATCAGTATCTTAGTGTTAGAGTTAGAGCAACCTGTAAAGACCACTATTTTTCGGTTAAGCAGCTAATTTTTCAGAAAGTGTAAAGGTTGTTCAGTCATACCATTTGAGTCTAATTTATTTAAGAGAATAGAAGAACTGACCGTATTAAAGGCTTTAGATAAATCCAAAGAGTCTGAGCCTGGGAAGTTACCGCTATTGATGGAAAGTTTTATGAAGTCTTTTAAAGAAAGCAGAGCATGGTTAGTGGATATTCCAGGAAGAAAAGTAAACTGAGAAGGTTTTATAATATTAAATTGCAAAACGTAAGTATTAAGAGGGCATTCGCACACATCATTCGAAGGGTTAGCGTATTATTGTGAGGCGCAAGGGACGGCTTTAAGCTCTCCGATAGTAAACCGAGTGCTCTTAATCGTTAACCACTTCTGCTATATACAAACATTTGTTCAATTAGTGTATTTATTGAAGGAAGAATAGCGATAGACTTATATTTCTCATTATCATAATCATCTCCTTTCTTAAAAAGTGATGTAATTTTGCACACTTCATAGAGTCAGTAATGTAACCTTTAGAAAAAATTAGATTAAACATATGGGTTAAGAGTTGAGAAATGATATCAGCAATGACCTTTAAGTGATGTGCGCAAATGTTATCCAGGCCGGGAAAGTATTTTAAAAATTACGAATAGCAGATACCATTTAGTCAGAGGAAGAGGAAAAGAAAAGAATGAGTGAGATAAGCGCGGAAAACTCGGTGAGGGAACAATTTTGAAGAATTGAATAAGGAACACCAATACTTGGAAAATGCATTAGCAATGTCATCAGATTGACAATGAGTAGTAACATGGTGAATGATTTTTGTAATGGGCGACTCGATTAAAGGCGAATCTAAGGACTCATTGAAAAAACTCGACTGTTTTTAGGATTACATTATTTCTCAGTATATCCTAATTATGTTACCCTTCCTTAGCATGTTTTCACCAACAGTGAAGAGTTTTACAATAATTTTTAGAGCGATGTGCCAAGGCAATATTAAAAGGTTGCTTCTTATTTACTTATAGAGGTTATTATGTTTTCTGTGACTGAATATTATGTCATTCAAGGACTTTGAGGCTGTTGGTATTTTTTTTGTAAGCAATAGTATTAGTTCTAGCACAAATAGCTTCAGTGAATAAAGAAGAAAATGTATCGACTGCTGATTGTAGATCAGCTTGCAAGGTAACTTTGTACGAATCACAATCTGAAATCGCACTGATAAAATTTTCTTCGTCATATTGAATTGCAGTAAAACTTGTGTATATGCGAGTTATGGGACGATAAAGTGTGATGAAGATGAGATAATGATCGTTAATAACGACATCAACCGCCCCAGACACACCAGGACTGAAGTTACAAAGAGCCTGATCCAAAAGAGTGTTGGAGCCACGTGGATTGTATTTAAAATGCGAATAGATGAGGCACGTTATCCCGTACCCTAGAAGGCAATTATTGTAGGCACTGGTAGTATTTGAATCAGAATGTAATAGAATAATGTTTATATCATCTACCAACAATATGGCAAAACTTACCTGGCATGGTCACCGGGAAGATTGACAGATTGAGAGCTTCCTTGATTCAGTAGATGGTAGTGGAAGGCCGTTCTTTGTTGGTGGAGTGATTTGTCTAATAAATTCTGATAACTAACGAGACTCTAGCGAAATAAATAGGTTCGGAGTTCCTAGCATCTTAAAACCTTCTTGGAGGGAAAAGCGGCGTCTAGCCACACAGAACAGAGCAATAACAAGTATGTGATGCCCGTAGTAGTCTGACGCCGCCCGCGTGCTACACAGAAGCAAGCAGCGGGTCCTTATCTCTGTCTGAAAAGACAGAGATAAACCCGTGGAACGTTTTTTTCCTCCGTGGAATCCGTGGAACCCATGGAACTTCTTCTGATCGCGATGGGGGCTTGCAATTGTTTCTTGAACGAGGCATTCCCAGTAAGCGCGAGTCATAAGCCCGCGTTAATCACGTCCATGCCATTTGTACACACCACCCGTCAATGCTACTATCTCGAACACGACCTGCGTTATGTTTTCACGGTTGGTTTTGGGTCCAGGTAAGAGTCGGTGAGCAGTATTGGGTGCTCTTCACGGGCGATTCTGAGCTCGTTGCAAAAGGTGTGGTGCCAGATTATCTCCACATCATCCCAGATGGTGGGAATACCTTGTTCGATGTGGTACTGAGGGTGAGGATACCACGCTCGCTCTGGCCCTCGTCGCCGACGTAGCTGTCCTTCTCGTCCATAACAACTATGGCACCCTGGTGCCTGGGACGACTGACTATAGAAGGAAAGACAGGGAGGGGTGCGTCGTCGCTGGCTACGCCAGCCTTGCACATGCTATAATCATTGTCAACCACGAGAGTGGCCACGTAGTCGTCACACATTTTATTTGATGGTGCGCAGAGGACTGGCTACAAAGAACTAGAGAATTTTGTACAGTGGCACCCAAGCGAATACACAAACATGGCTGCAACACCTGCAAGCGGCCGGTAGTCTTTTTATCACACGTGCGGTAGCGCCGTCAACACTTGCGCCAACAGTTACGCCAGAAAACTCCACTAATCATCATAACGATGAGAATATGAGACACACTTTTTTTAGAGCTCCGGCGTCTCTGCTGTCTGCAATGTTCGGTCGCAACAGCATGTACAACGAATTTTTTAGCTCACTGCAATATTACAAAGAATAAACTGAAAATAACTTTTCTGAAGCTGCGAAGATATTGCTTCCCGTTTTGTTTTCTCTTTCAGGCAGTCCTTATCCTTATGATGTCTACCAAATATCTCCAGGCAACGAAGCGTATTCGCCGTCGTATTCCCCAGGTGAAAGTCACGTCCTATTTATTGCGTACCAGTGTTTTACTTGTTAATACCATGATTCGAGTGGGTGACATAATATTGTTTAAAGCTTTTTATGCCGTTTTGAAACGCGTACTCAAAACAAATACAGCGGTGTTCTTGCTTATAGCCTGCTTCGAATAACCGCCGCCATGGCTAAGAATCGAGCCCGCGCCCTGGAGCTTAGTAGCGCCACACCTTGTCTGTTAAGCTACCATAGATGGTTCATCCTATACTAAAACAACAGAACGGGAAATGTAGATGTACTGTGCTAAACTTATCCTGTAAATCAGTCAGTCAATTGATCAAGCCATCAATCAATCAACCAATCAACCCACCTATCTATCTATCTATCTATCTATCTATCTATCTATCTATCTATCTATCTATCTATCTATCTATCTATATTTCAAGAAAGCTGTCTGTCCGTTTACAGGGGTTTCTTGGTCGGTTTGGTACTGCTTAAACGAAAATGTGTTATTGCAACTAGCGAGTTCACGTATGAACAGTCGCTCTTATTTATGAAGCATCAGCCGCAACAAGCTGGTTCAGGCAGAAACCCGGCGAGAACGAGCCACACGGACGTCAACGTCTTCTTTCACGCTGGTACAAATCTGGCACCATGCACTGTGCTCTGAACAATTACTCGCCGCGCAGAAAGGAGCCAACCTGGAGACCTAAGAAAATGACAAAACAGGGGGGTCACAAGCACCACACACTGACCAGATGAACATGCGTTGTCCACACTGCCCTGTCTCAATGTTTTTGACATTCGCCGTTAGGGGCACGCAGAAAGTTGACGCGTGCTCGCCTCCCCCATTGCTGTGTTGGGGGCTGGCTGGTCCCGACGAAGGAGAAGAAGAAGACGGCCGACGGAGACGTACGCGACCGGCGGGGACGCCGACCAGCCCGAACACGCGGGTTGGCGCGAAACGCCGAAGGAAAGAACAACAACCGCACTCCACGGTTACCCAACACACACTGCTTTTATTTACAGTCACCTTAAAATCCTAGATGCCAGAGCGGCGCCCCCTGGCATCCTCGCATGTCAATTCGAAACTGAAACCGAAAACCCGGAACACAACAATCATCCCCTCCTCGAAAATACCACACCTATACACTGTTCATATTTATACATGCTCGATACCAACATATTTTACAAGGTATGTACATTAGAACACACGAAAATTCAGAGCACGGCACACCGAACTCACACAATACAAGTCCTGAAAATGCACTGACAAACAAGAAAAAATGTGCACAACTGTTCGGAACAAGAGTTCTACATCACGTAGTCTTCGAACCAACGCGGCTTCTGCCGCTTCCGCTTAGGGCGGGCCTTTTTGGGTGTAGAATCAGGTGTCTCTGCACCTTGGTCACTTCTGCTCTGATGTGACACATCAAGAGCAGTGGAAGATTGTGAAGGCTCTGAACGAGCGTTAAAATTTGCGGTCTCATCAGAGCTCGCAGCATGAGCTTCGGAAGAATTTTGCGGACCGGAGTCTGGTTCAACGGTCTCAGCCGAATTTGAAGGTTCGAAGTGAACCGTATGACATGGTGTACTTGAACCAGCGACACCGACTGGTAACTCCTCCCCCCTTGAAGAAATGCCTGTGCATGGAGGCCACATGTAGTAATCTGATGGATAGTTGAAAGGCGCGGACGGAACGTGATGGGGAAGACTTTTAGGTGTTGAAGGCGAATCCGTATGCAAAATAACAAGGCGCGAAGCATTCCAGATGTTACCATCACTCAAGCGAAAAGAAGTGGGGCTAACCTGGCCCAAGACTTTGTAAGGACCCCGATACTTGGGGCGCTTGTCTGGCATACGGACCTTGACTAGATCTCCAGTGCGAACTTTGGACTGCTTTGCACCTCGACGGGTGTCGACATACTTTTTCATTGCTTGTTGACGAGAAAAAACCCTGGTACGAATTTGATCAGGAGAAGACACTGCTATGTTACGAGGCAAAGAGACTATGTCGAGAGCAACTCGCGGTTGCCTACCGTGGAGAAGTTGAGCAGGAGACACTCCAGTGGTGCCTTGTGGTGTGAACCTGTACGAAGCTAAACATTCAGTCAAGACTTGCTTGAGGGGACGGTGCTCTAATTGGGCGATCTGGATGTGTTCCTTCAGAACGCGATTAAAGCGCTCGATTTGGCCATTTGATTGGGGATAGAAAACTGATTACCTGAAGTGCTGAATTCCTCGTTGAAATATATGCGTCTGTCTATGTGACCGTCCGTGCGTCCATCCGCCCATCCGTGTGTCCATCTGTTCGGCCGCGTTCACACTGAGCATTGCGGCCACCGAAAGTGCTCCGAATCCGGTTCGGCGGCGGCGAGATCCGCCGAAAGGGCCCTCTCCGCGCCGATCGCTCTCGAAGCGATTTTTGCGGCGTCTGCCGCCGAATCGGTCACCGCGGACCAATAGGAGCGATAGTCAAGGAATTTCGAAAAATGACGGCCAAGCCCTACTCACTTGTTATGCCGCAGTGCACGTAACATAATGTTGAAACCAACGGCAGTTTAACCTACTCAGTGCGTACTTCGCGTCCGTATTTCGTGGAAGAGGTGACCGAGCTTGCTGTTGGCGTGACCGAGCTTGTTTCCGTCTTGCAGAGCAAAATGAACCCACCAACGCCTCTGGCGTCGGTGGTTTTTCTGCTCTCCGTGCATTACAAGACAGCCACTTGCCATCAATGTAAGCAGTACTGTCTTTTCTTGCTGCCTGCGTACGAGAATCGTCAAAGTGTGCACCACTGGATAGCGTAGTAGCGTTTGCGAGCCGCGACAACAACCGGGTGACAGCGCATCCATCCCGCGTTCGCCCCGTAGTAGATGGCATACTCGGCGGCACGGGGCGCGTCCAGTGCGAACGACGCTGCGTTTCGGCGGCAGGCGAATTCCGGCCGCTGTAAAAAGCGAATGCTTCAGTGTGAACTAGGCATTAGACAGGCGTCACTTCTAAAACATCAGGTCCGTAGGGGATAATGGTGTCCATGGAGCACGATGGTTCCCATTCATACAGTAGGAATAAAAGAGAGAAGCGGGTGATTGTTTGTGGCGCAGAGTTGTACGCGTGCGTGACAAAAGGGAGCGTCTGGTCCCAATTTGTGTAGTCGTCAGATGCGTACGTAGCAAGCGTATAACCAAAGATACGATCAAAGCGTTCCATCATGCCACTGGTTTGAGGATGGTATGCGACATTCCTCGACAGCTCGTGCGAAATTCCTTGAGCAGTTCATCGATGGCATTTGAGAGAAACATGCGTGCATGGTCCTTCAGTAATTCACGAGGTACATCGTGTCGCAAAATCACATGCATATTGAAGAAGGAGGGATGCAACCTCTTTCGCATCGGTAGCAGGCAGCGCAGATGTTTCAGCGTAGCGTGTCAAATGATCTGCGGCGACGATAATCTACCGGTTGGGGTGATCCACTAGGTGGCGTAGGGCGGTGAGGACGTGCTCACATCACTCTCCGCTTTATGAAACGCTTCCAGGCGGAAATTTTATTCAAGTTTACTTGAAAAGTGCGTCATATTTTTTGTGAAGTTGCGAGGATTCAAAGGACACCAAAATTTCGGACCTGGACCAGCTTCACGAGAAACTATCAACATTAGAAGACTCGACGTGCACGAACGCAGCTCACCGTATGACCGGCTTCGGTCAGCGGCGCCGGGTGCTAAACCGTGCGGGGGGCGGCGAGGGGTGTGTGTGCGTCGACTGGCTCACAGCTATTCGACCGACTTTCTCTGACATTTTCTGACTGAGTTAGAAGTCAAAAGTGAGTGCCAGTTAACCTCCCTTTCGGACTATACGCCTTGTGCAGAGGAAAACGAAGGTCGGCCCATTACCTGTTTCTTCTGAGCATGCATGCTTAAGGACACCTAGACATTATTCGTCTTCATGGACGTCGACGATGACCCTCCCGGTGCATCTCTGGTGTCGGAGAATCAACAGAACGACGTGAGTAGTGTCTAGTCAAATTAAGAACCAAGTAACGACGTGCGAGCGCCCAGCACCACGTCTCTCGATAACAGGAACGATGGCGACGCGGGTCTGGCTCTTACTTGGGCGGGGGACAGATGGCACACCGTCCTTTCACGCAGAAGAGAAAAAACCATAATCAAAGCCAGAAAGAATTAGAGAAAAACTAGATAAGAAAAACGAAAAGTCAGCCGGCTATCCACCTGTCGACGCAGCGCGGGACAGCCAAGTCAAGCGAAATTTCCAGCGCAGAAAACGCCGAGGACCAACGCCCCTTCTAAAGGAAAACATAAAGGTTATCCTGTGACCGCACAAAGGCGTCACAGTGAGAATCTATTTGGATCTGAGCTCTCTATGGCAGTGATAGAGGCCTGCCGGAACAGCTTTGAAGGAGAAATTTTTTTGCTGCGGGTCCAGCCCGGATCGAACATCATAATATTGTCCACGCCACACGAACAAGTGGCGGGCAGGCCGAGAGACCAATTGAAAATAAGAGGACGAATTCACCCCTTCAATGCGTACGTGGCCGACCCAGAAGACGTGCTGCGAGGCACCG